CCTCCCTTGCAGTTCAGTGTCAGGTGACTGAATTCCGGCCAATGTAATGGGAGCAGAATGACAGCTGATGAAGTTAAGTGCGCAGGCCTTCTCTGTGGACTCCTTTTCTTTTTGCTGAATGAATGGGGATGGTATCTAAGGATCTGAAAGTGGGTGGGGCCAGGAGATGGGAGGAGCCTGAGTCTCAGCATCACCGTTCACCAAATACCTGATTGGATTTCATGAAAAGAACAACTAAACTGACATTGAGTTAAGCCTTTCAAACTTGGGGCTTGTCTATTACAGCAGTGGGCATTAACTAATGCACCTGTTATCCTAGAATGAGCTGGGCAAGTATATATGCAAAGGCCCAGGGCAATCGAGAACCTAACAAATGTTTAGCCTGGCTGGAGTGTTCAGTATGTGTGCATGTCAGTAGTTGGGGAATGGGCAGGGAAAACTAGAGGCCCAGCCAGGAAGGTGGCAGGGGCAGGCAGAACATGCAAGGCCTCAAGAAGCATGTTAAGGAATCTGGCTTGGGTCCTGTGGGCAATGGAGGGCCCTGGGAGGGTCTTCAGCAGAGGAGTGAGGAGATGAGATTCCCATCAGGCTGGCTGCTAGATGGAAAATGAATGGAGAAGAAATAGGAGAAGCAGGCAGACCTCGAAGATGATTGTTACAGCTGTCTAGGTGTGAAATGACCTGGACCAAGGAGAAGGCTGGGAATGGACTGAAACCATCTGTATGGCATGGGCAGCATTTGTTGGTGATAGGATGTAAAGGAGGGGAAGGAAATTCCTGTTGGGGTGATTGGTTGGGGTGCATCTAGTCCCCTGAGTGGGGGAGACCAAGTTGGGGGAAAGTTTAGTATGGGCTTGAGTGGGCAATGTCAGTTTCAGTTGAGAACTCATTGAGTCTGGGCAATGTGTGGGATGCTTGCAGAATGTGCAAAGCACAGTAGGATCCCCTGCCTGGAGCACAAGAAGGAAATCTCAGAAGACAGTGATTGGAGACCATGATCACAGAGGTGGGAATTGAGGGCAGAGGAGCAGATGGAGTCACTGGGGAAAGGCTGAGGAAGAATAACTTTGCACTTATGGGAATAGGAAGGGGAAGAGCAACCCCCACCCCGCTCCGCCCGTCAAGGAGATGAAGATAAAGTGCCTCCAAAACCACTGACTGCAGAACAGCCTGTGGAACCACTGCTCCCCATGAACCATTCTCTGACTGACGGGCACCCGTGCTGTTTACCCAGTGTGCGCACATAGGAACGGGGTCCTGGCAGAGAAGGCGGTGGGGTGAGGGTGTCCTAGCACAGTTTCCTTTGGTGGAGGAAATCTCATGGGGATACCGGATTAGACTTTGAGAGTGGGGCAAAAAGATTCTCCCTACAGTGCTTGGAATGCCTATTTGACAGCAACTACTACAGTTCTAAAAGTACCCATCCTCGGACCCAGCAATTTCACCTGTGGGAATTTGTTCAAAGAAGATAATCTAAAAAGAGATCTGAGATAGGGCACAAAAATGTTTACTACAGTATTATTTAGCAAAGGGGAAATTTAGAAACAACCTAAATGTCCAACAGTAGGGGATGGTTAAAAATTTTATGTGATATTTACCTGTGATCTATTATGTAGTCATTGAAATGATGTCCACAATATATAGTGAAGTGAAAAATATATATATACACATATCATGTACACACATACATACACATACACACACATATATAATTTTTCTTTACAAAGAATCTGTATCTGTATTACTTTGGGTAAAAAAATTAAAATAAAAAATAAAGGTATTTTCATTTTGAAAAACTGCAGTCTGGTTGGAGGAGGAGGGAAAAGTGGCTAGTTCGAAACATGCCCAGTCTCACTGTGTGACCATGGCAGGCATGCTGCCCTCTCTGAACCTCAGTGTCCTAAAGTGGGGAAGAGGCAGCAGAGGCCTAGGACAGAGAAGCTGAGAAGTGTGGGCTGCACAGTTGAAGGTGCAGATAGGAGAGACTGGCCCTCCATCCAGGAGTGCTTAGGGTAGTGACTTGCAAGGATCCAGAAGCTTCCTCACTCTGAGCCCCTCTGGAGTAGGGTGCTGGAGTAGAGATGGGGAATCTCACCCAGAGGGGCACTTCAGCTGAACCCCAACTTGCTGGCTCCCAGGACCACATCCAAACTGTCAGCCCTAACGTCTTGCTCCTACTTCTTCCTTGACTGGAAGAATGGCTGCCAGCTGGGTACAAGGCCAGCCAGTTGACTGAGAAGAGGTCAATGTTCAGAAAGCAATTTTTGATCTTGCAGAGTCATCTCTATCTACCATTTCAAATAGCAACCACACCTGCGACCTCAACATTCCCTCCCAGTGTCATCTCTTAGCCCATGTGGCAAGGAAGGAAACTCAAGCTCAAAACATTATGAAGGGACTAAATGTCAAAACCAGAACCAGGAGCAAGCTCATAGCTCTTTCTGCTACACCGCCTCTTCTGGGCAAAATCACCAGCTTTCCTGACGGCAGATCCGAGTCACCCCAAAGCAGCTCTAATTGCAGAGTGGCAAAACACAGGTTAACTAAGAAGTCAGACACTTCTTTATTAGTTCCAAAATTACTGAGAACCCTGGAGGTATGTGGGAGCTGGTAATATCATTCTTTATACCTTCTAGCATGACTGAAATGTTTTTTTAAAGAAATATCATGCACTTGTTTGCATAAAAACATGCAACAGTATAAAAGGTTTTTAAAAGGTGCTGAGCACTTGCTATGCACCATGCCCTGGATCTGTCTACTCTGCTCACTCCTGGAGGGGTTGAGATGCTCTATACCCCTGCTCCACCACTCCCCAGGTGGGCAACCTTGGGCAAGTGACTCCCCCTCTCCGAGCACTGGTTTCCTAAAACCTGGGGATACTGCAACCCGCTCAAGGGCTTGCTGTGAGGATCAAATGAAATGAGGCATGCAGAGCCCTTTGCATGTACCTCGGATCATTATCATGACCCTTCTAGAGCCTCCTGCCAGGAGAAGCAGGACCCACCAGTGCAGACTCCTGGAAGTCCACCCTCCCCATCCGAGCACCCATATTTCCCAGGCTCCAGACCCAAGTTCCCTAAACCCCAGATGTCACATCTAAGGAAAGTGAGACACAGATAGGGAAGAATTCGCATAAGGTCCTATAGCAAGTCAGGACATCACTGTGACCAGGTGTGGGGGTGCCCAAGCCATACCTCATCGCTGCCCTGGAACTGGCAAGAGAGAAAGAAGGTATTCTCTGGGACCCCACTTCCTCCAGAACAACACTTCTCACCTGGCAATTCTATCAGCTCCCAGCCCACTGATCTCCATGGGTACCTCTGCTCTGTCCTGCCTTCCTTTTCTGAAGTAGGATAAAGCTCCTTAACAGGGCTTGTCCATGTTACTCAACCAGTCAAAGCAAAGCAAGAAGCCCTTCAAGAGCCTGCTGCCATACCTGGAATTCCATCATCTGTGCATCATTCTCCCAGTTAATCATTGCCACTTTCACCAGGGTGGCATACTCAGTCCCTAGACCCCAGAGAGAGGGAGGGACCATAGGGGACGACACACTCTTCCCTTGCGGAGTGACACGAGGACATTAGACCCAAGCTCTCAAACATCAGACTCATGCCCATAGGACAAGGGAATACACAGGAAGCAGGAAGGCTTCTTTGTCCACAGGCAGCTTCCTTCAGGCAGCAGTTTGCCTGAGAGAGAAGCAGGGAATAAAGCTGCCCGAGGTGGCAGCTGGGAACAGGGCTCTGTTGTCTCTGCTCCCAGAGTAGCAGCCTGCTCACCCCCCGAAGTGTCAGGCAGAGCTGGGCGCTAGGGAGGCAAGGGGGGTGGGGTCCAGAGCTGGGGGTTTTAGGCAGCCCAGGCAGATCCAAGAAGCTAGGACCCCAGAGGGACATAGATGTCTTGAGCAGGGCTGGGGTCCTGAGATGCAGGCCAGGGCAAGACTCCTATGATTTGCAGCCACCTTTGAACTATGTGACTTTGGGTAAGTCCCTGAATCTCCCTGAGCCTCAGTTTCCCCATTAGGATAATAAGAACAGTAACGACACCTCTTTTGCAGGGCAAGGTACAGCACAGCAGCTCAGGGGCTACTCTGGCCCAGGCCTGCCCGCAGCCTTACACTCTCTGGGCCTCAGGTCACCCCCTTGGTAAAGGAAGAGGATGGATTCTCCCAGGTGGATTGTCCTTCTGAGGATTTCCATGGCGCCTGTCACCTCGGCAACCCAGGCATCAGATGTCAGGCCACCCTCCCTCCCTACCTCCCTCCCACCCACTGGTGTGCATTACTACAGCCAGATGTGCACCCATTACCTCTCCTGCTTTAGGCAGGTGTGTGTGCAGGGTCCCATTAGGAAGGGACCACAGTCTTGCTAGGTGCAGTTACCAAAGTGCTGGCTTGGTATGCAGGGGGCAGTCCAAGCTGGTCCTCCTTCCTGAGCACTGGTCCAGGAAACAGGGGAACTGTTGGATTTCCTAGGGGACCCTTCCTGGATACCAGAGTTTGTCCCATTCCCACAAGCCTCTCCGTGGTGGTCTTGCCCGCTCTGTGGTACAGGACAAGGCCTTCTCCAAGCAGAGGGTATCTGTCCCTTACTCTGGTCCCCCTTCTGGGGGAGGGGTGGTGGGAAGAGGGGAGATTCCTGCCTCCCCACTCCCAGAACACAGGCTGCTGTGTCCAAGATTAATCATTAACAGACTTGCAGGTCCAGCCCAGCCCAAATCCAAGGACTGGGAAACCCCTGGAAATGGTGACCCTGGGGAAGAAACCAAAAGCAGAGTGAGCACCAACCTGTGCCCTTCCTGGCCCCAGCCTGCCCATCCACCTGCGGTTAGCCAAACCCTGGAGCTGTAGTGTGGGACTCCCCCCATACCACCTAGGTCTGAGAGTCTGACTGACTTGCACAATCCCAATTTGGAGGGTGGGTTAGTTCGGGTCAGGACCCAAAGGGGCAGACTGAGGCAGGACACCAGCTGGCAGTGGGTGCTGGGTCCCTAGGGCATACCTTGTCCCCGTCCTCTTCGGGCTTGACTTGCTGGCTCGGCCCGGGCTGCAGCGCCCGGGCGCTTACTAGGCGGCGGGGCGTACCCGCCCGAGCCCCCGGCTCCACCGGGCCTGGACCATGCTGCCACCCCGCCCCCGCCGCCGTAGCCCCGGCTGCTGCGCCCGCTCGGGCCAGGTGCGGCCACCAGCTTCGCCCCGCCCCCAGTACCGTGGCCAATGGGCGCCCGGGGCCATGGGCCCCTCCCGGCTCCTCCGCGCTCCCAGAACGTACAGAAGCCACATTCAGTGCGTCCGGGGCTGCGCCGCGCCCCCGCCGGCGGCCCAACAAGGCGCGTTTGTCTCTGAAACGCCAACGGGGCCATTGTCCCACCGCCGGACCCTGAGGCTCAGCCGAGCTCCGGGGATTCGAGGGTGCCTGGGAAATGGGATGGCGTGGTGGTGGTGAGGAAAGCCCAGCTCTGAGAAAACGGAAGCGGCTAGAGTAGTTGCTAAACTTTTATTGGGGGCTCTAGAGCCCTGAAGATCCAATGGAAGGTGTGGTCCCCCGCTCCAAAGGCAGTGCAAGCTGGGGACATACGCTTTTGCTTTTCAAAATGTGGATATGGGGGGTGGGGGGATTGCCAAAATTTCCCAGGGAAGCTCAGGCAAGGGACCCATCTCCAACTGGTCAGCCACTTGGAGGTCTCAGCTGACCCCACCTCTCCAGGGCACCCATCAGGGCTGAGCACAGCACCATCAGGATGGATGCAGGTGCCCCTTAGAGGATCCACCCTTTTCCAGTCCTGGGCTTCCTTCCTTCACCCCAGAGGACCAAGGATGGAGACTGATGCCCGCCTGGAGTGGGGAATGCTCAGCTCCAGCTGTGGGCAGTGCAAAGATAGCTGGCCACCCAGTGGGACATGGGCCATATCAGAGCCCCACTGCCCCCGCCATTACTGGGCGACTCTGGAATGGAGAAAATTCCACATCAGCACGGCTGCCAGATTTTTCCATATCTGATGAGCCTGCTCTCCAGCCTTGCCCTGGCACCCCTGCCATGGCCCTGGGATGCACACGCACCCAGGCAGACTTTGGCTCTAGAGGACTTGACCCTGTCTCTGCCTCTGTGGTCCCTCCTCACCACCATGAGAATGCCAGAGGGGAACATAGCCCTCTCCTACACCCACAGCAAGGTCCAGCCTACACAGCGGCCCTGGGTTCCCTGCTCCCTCGGTCAGACCCTGCCCAAGCTCTTGCCTTCCTTTTACACGGATTGGGCCTGCAGCCATTGCCCAGGAAATGTCTACAGAACCTGGGTACAGTGAGGGGCAAGGTCCTCACATGCAATTTGGGGAAGGTAGAGCCCAGTACCAAAACCATACTTCTCTGCCCTGGCCCCTGATCCTGACAGCTGTGAGCCCATTGGGGCACCCTGGGGGAAGCTATTCAGAAACTTCCTGCCCGACTTGGGAGGGGCTGTGACCATCTTAAGCCCTGGCTTCTGGCCCTAGCTCTGCCATGAAGCACCAGCAGTCCCAGGTAAGGGCTTGTCCCCTGGGGCCCCAGCCCTGGCTTCTGGCCCTAGCTCTGCCATGAAGCACCAGCAGTCCCAGGTAAGGGCTTGTCCCCTTGGGCCCCAGCAAGGACACTGCCTGGGTTAGGTGGGATGCTGTGAGGATAATCTAGCAAGGGTGATAAGTCAGGCTGCTGGTAACATCCACATTGAGAATTAGTCGAAGGTCCTCCTGAGGAACCCACAGGTAAAGCTTGGTACCCTCAACTCAGACACCCCAGATCCTTCAGACACTGGCTCTTACCTTCTGGGCTGACAAGCAGAAGTGACGACAGTCACAGCTGTTTACTGAGCATTTTACTAGACACCTGACACTATGGGAGTCTGCATAACATTATCACGAACACCTTCACACATCACTGGGAGGCAGCTTTCAGAATTTCTACCCCTAATTTAGACACGAGGAAGCAGGTCCACAGAGGAAACGTATCTGGGCTGGACTGTGAACCCAGGGCAGACTGACTTCAGAGCCCAAGCCCAGAACCACTGCACCTATCTTCTGGCACCCAAAGGGGTCCTTGGACATCCAGACAGCACTGAGCAGTGACCAGTCAGGCCCATCTCGGTAAATACCCAGGCTGGTCCAGCCTGGAGCACAGGGCATTAGGTGCCCTTCTCCAACTCCAAGAAGGCTCATGAACAGAATATAATTGGCTGCAAAACTCTAGCCATTTAATAACAAATGGTTCCCTACCCTCTTCCACCTCACAGCGCCAGGAGAATCATGGGTCCAACCATATGTGTGTGGTGTGGGGCGAGAGGGGACTGCGGAAAGCCAGGGTGCACGGGAGTGGCTGGTGAAGCGCTGGTTGGGACCCTGCTCCCCCATGTCGCTGACTCTTAGGAGACAGAGTCAGGCTGGGCACAGTGGCCTCTTCTCTGCCCAGCCACCAGCAGAGTTCCATCCAAGGGAGCCCAGGACAGCCCACGGGCCCAGCCAGAGAGCATGAAAGGAAGCCAGGGCTGGCAGGGGGAGGAGGAGGAGGATGAAAACAGAAGACACTCTAGGACTCCAGTCTGCCACCAAGCCTGGGTCCTCTGGCCTGCTTGTGCCAAGTCCAACTGCCAGGAGCTGGCCTCGCTCATCAAGAGGCTGCCACCACTCACACTGGCCTTGTCTTCTTGGCCTTCTTCTCAGACCTTATGGCCTCATCGTGGGCTTTCCGCTTCTCTGCCAGTTTGTTGGCCTATGAGGAAAAAGGGGGTGGTCAGGCTGTGATGGGGATGGAAGAGGTGAGCGGGGAAAGGGGCTTCCCCCTTCTCTTGAGGCTATCCCTTAAAAACAGGGGCTCCAGAGAAGTAACAGGCAATTACCATGGGGAAAAACAAATCGAACAGATGAGGAAACAAGCCTTCGCCTTTGCCTTTAAAACTCTATTATTTCATAGGTCCACAAGTTAGGAAAATCCCTGGCTCCCACAGCTGGAGGCAACTGCCCCATCTGCCCCCTCCCCTTGGGAAAGCTGAGTAGCAGCTGCTGGGGAAGAGTCAAGTTGAAAAGGTCTTTCCCCCAGGACCATCTGGCAATATCTATTACACAACAGGTAGGCCTTTCAATTCAGCAATTACACTCCTAAGAATTAACCCTGCAGCTAGCAGGCAAGGACAGCTCAAGGTTTTTTTCTAAGAATGACTGAAAACGGAAAATCTAATCCAACCAGCAAGAAACAGGCTACATATTGTATAACGTTCATGCTATAGTTAAATGAAAAGCACTAGAAAACAATCTTTTGTAGTCCGATACACCCAAAATAATGTGTTCTAACACACATAAAAGAAACCTGGGGGCTATTACTATATCCATTGCAAAGTGCTGATGTGCACGGAACTTTTGTTTGTTTTACAGTGTGGTTTTGTGAACAAGAGGAAATAAAATAGAGAGATGCTTAACTAAAACCTCCCACGGACCCTCCTACCAATTAAGTGATCCTTCATAAGAGGATCCTGAGTCTGCTAGTACAGCTCTGTCCCCAGATACCAGCAGACTCAAAAACAGCCAGGTGTAGGAAGGAGACAGAAGTCCTGCAGAAAGCCCAGTTGAGAGCTACTGATGCCAAGATGCCCACGCTGGCCTGGATGGGGGCTGGGCCAGGCAGGCAACTTCAGAAAAAGGCTAGAACAGGGCCCTGAGTCTGCCCAGAAGAGAGACAGCTGGACTCAAAGTTCACCTATGTGGCCACATCTGGTGGCCACACCTGGAGTCTCAGGCAGGTGGCAGGGACTTACCTCACGGATTTTGCGCCTCTTGCCAAACATGATCTTGTTGTAGAGGTACTTCTCCCGCTTCTTCATCATCATGATGGCCAGGCGCTTGGCCTCACTCTCCTCCTCCTGGGCCAGCCGCTGCTTATCCTCCAGCTTTACAGTGCCTGCCATCACCCTGGGTTTCTGGGAACACAGGGTGGACAGTTATAGATGCAGCTCCCCACACCCACCCATACCAGGGGTGGGCCAAGGCTGACACCAAGATGACCAGTGGGACTGCTTCCCAGGCCGCCCTGTAGTCAGCTCTCCAGTACCTTTTCCTCTATCCTCTGCTCCTCCAGGGCTGTCAGCCGGGCTTCTTCTTCCTTTTCCGAACCAGCCTCCACATCATCTTCTTCCTCCTCTTCATTTTCTCCTTCTTCATCACCATCATTATCTTCCTCTCCCTCCTCCTCCTCTTCAGATTCATTCAAATCCCCTATAAATAGCCGATGACTTTTGAATGCCCTGGGACCCTGTTCTTCCAAAGGCAAAGCGAGAACTGGCACCAGGTACCACCATCTTTGACTCTGGGGACATCCCACCAGCAGTGCAGAGCTGTCCCAACTGTGTCCCACTCTGGCACCTCTCCTCACAGCCCCAGGTGCCTTCAGAGGCAACTCAAGGCCTCTCCTGAGCTCTGTGCCTCCTATGTTAACTTCAATGACAACTTTCAGACTGTTCTTCTGCCCAGTTACTCTGAACATCCAGGAACACCTGATTATAGGACACAAACGTCCCTTTCTCCTAACTGTTACTCCAAAGATGGGTTTAAAGGGCTTTGTGCCTCTGCTGCCCTGTTCTCTGGAGTTTGCCACCTTTGTAGCCAAGAAGGGAAACTGGAAACAGCTGAGACGCAGGGGACCACAGCCAGCCCCAAGGAGCCTGCCCATCCTGCTGCCTGGCCCAGCCTCTCCCACTCACCTGGATGCTCTCCCCGCTGCAGGGCCAGCAGCTTCAGCTTCTCAGGAGGGACGTAATCGCCTTCCTTCTCCGACACGAAGGGCGAGAGGTGTGGGGGCAGCTGCACCCCAGGGAAGTAGTCTGCCACAGGGAGGAGGAGCCGAGCGTTCACAGAGTCAAACACCCACTGGGGCTGCACGTAGTACCTGGTGCAGAGCGGCGGCAGAGACAGGTCACAGGGGCCACATGAGGTCCCGCTGTATCCACAGGGGCCTTGAGACAGACGTCTGTACCCAGACCCCAAACAGGTAGAGAGAGATGAGGGCTATGGGAGCCTACCTGCCGATGACAGGGGTCTGCTGCCCAGGCCGGTCAACAATCTGGTGAGTGATGCAGGAGTCTGTAACGTCGTAGGTGGCCCCGATGCACAGAGACTTGTCCCACGATACGTCTCCCCCAAAACTCCTACAGGCACAGGGGGAGCCCACAAGAACATTCAGGTATGAGGTGCCTGCCCTGGGACCTACTGGCCCACAAGCTCATCCTCCTGGGAAATGGCTGTCCCCTCCCCACCCCAAGATCCCCTATCTGACTGATGTCTCCAATGCTGACCCGGTGGAGACCTTCTGCCCAAAGCTGGTGAGAAAGTGATGACAGCGACCCTGTGATGAGCACTTCCCGCGTGCTCGGGGCATGCTGAGCACTTTCTTCGCACTATTTTGTTGAATCTTCACAAGAGCCCTAATAAGTGGATAATGACACCATCCCAGTGTTACTGGTGGGCATCCAAGACTGCTCCAGGCAGGGCAAGACCCAGCCCATAGTGTGACTGAGCCAGTGCTGTGTGTGGGCTTCCCTACCTGATAATGAAAGCCAGGGCCTCACGTGGCACTTCGCGGTTCAGGAAGAACTTCAGGCCTTCAAAGAGCTTCTTGTGCTTCTCCTGTGCCTCCAGTTCCTTCCTGCGGCCCTCCTCCTGTGCTGCCATGTCCTGCCGACAACGGGG